CAGGAAATTTATTTTTCAAAGAATCTATATGTTCTTTCTGTAATAAATCTCTCTAAGAACCTATTTCCTACTTTCCATCATTGTCTGCCTGACTGCCTGCCATCTATCTAACGCTCATTTAGACCTTTTTACAGTCCAGAAAAATCCATATTTGTAATCCTGGAATTCTAATAAATTCCTTCCAATCTATCACTTCCACTGAAATGCATGGCAAGAATAAAGATACGTGTCTAGCTGTGGGGAGCAAGGTGTTCCTAAATCCTGCTAGAATGTGTTGATGAATTTTGTCAAAGACTTGCTGCATCTGTAGGCATGATGATGCAATATCTTTTCTTCATTCTATATATGAATTCTTTTATAACTTATTGATTTAGTAAGTAGAATTATCCTTGAATCCTTTGGATAAATCTTACGAGGCTTTTCTTTTATTGATTGAATGCTTGAGTTCTTAGTTTGTTTGTTATCAGAGTAATGTTGGCTCCATAAAATTAATTGACAAGCCTTTCTTTCATTTTTATTACCCAGTTAATTTAGAAAAATATTGAGGTTAGTTGCTCTGTAATGATCTGGCAAAAGAAAAAATCAAGTGTTAATTCAATCAGGTTTTCTTAGTTGCAGTATTTATTATTTTATTGTATTGTGTTGGTTTCTTTAGATCTCTTTTCATCTTGATGAAAATTCGTTGGTCATATGTATCTACACATTTAACTGTTTGCTCTAGGTTTTCTGAGTTACTGAAGTATAAATTTTCAAAAACATCCAAATAATTTTCTAGATGTTAGCCATGTATCTTGTAGTTACATTTTTTTTTTTATTTCTAGTTTTATTATTATTTGTCTTCTCCTTTTTTTTTTTGGTAAATGTGACTACAGGATTTTATAATGTTGTTTGCCTATATAAAAGTCAATTCTAAAGTGATATAAACAATGATATCTTTATTTATACTCATTTTTATTTTTTGCATGTAAAATATATTGCTCTTTAACAGGGTTTAGAGTTTGGTTTTAAGTTGGACTGAACACCTTTCATCAGTCTGACTGGCTCCAGCCAGGTGGCTTTCATCTTTCTCTTCAGGTCAAACTGGCTCAAGCTAACAATACTTCATTTAATCCAATAGAAAAAAATTTACTAGGATGAGATATGTCATTGTATACTCATTTGAGATAACTTTTTCTCATGTTGATATTAGTAGCTATAAACTTCAGCCATAGAAGTAGCTTCATTGTGCCTAAATGGTTCTGACATAGCTTCCTTGCATTATCATTTTATTAAAGGAATTGTTAAAATTTCTCCCTTGACTTATTCAATAATCATTTGGAACTTCAAGTATACTATTTAATCTATCATGTATGTAATTTCTATCTTTTCTTTATCTTTTGTTTTCTAAGTTTATTCTACCATAATCTTATTTACAAAGCATTTCAGTTTTTTATATTTAATGAGCCTTGCTTTTTTGGGCTAAAATGTGGCTTATTTTCAAAAAATCTTCAGACAATTCTGAAAAGTATGCATGATCACATGTTCCTTGAAGCACAATGTAGATATCTGATCAGTGTGTTTAATGCATAATAAAATTTAATTTCTTTTTTATGTGTTTGTTTTTCAACTGGTTGTCCTTATCATGAGGTGGGACATTCAAATTTACTCACTATGGTTGGATTGATGTCTCTTTTCATGTGGA